CCTGTTGAATTTCCAGAAATCCAGTGAGCTCCCAATTCCTGTTTCGGCTGATAACATAATGCCACTCAAATCCCAAGCAGCGTCGTCATCCCTGCCTGCTGGATTACAGAACATACCCCCCTGGATATTATGTCCCTCTCCACATACATACATTGATTTCTTTCCTAGCAAAGTAATGCTGCTGTCTTGACTCCCAGGAGCCTGCTCACACACTGTGTGCAGGAAAAGGGCTCTAGGGAGATACAGATGTCACTTTCACATCTATAAAAACTGAGCTTTTAGCAGCTGCGCCATGTAAAATTTTACAAGCCTGATAATGACCTCACAGGGAGTATTAATAGTGGATTAAAATAATGTGCTGGACCATTCTATAGAGGGATACAAAGAGGCTTGGTAAATTAGGACAACATACATTTTAAAAAGCTTTTAGAATCTTTGTGAGTACTCAAATTAGTTCTGATGAGGATGGTAGTTGATTATCACATCAATATATTAGCATACAAGCTGCATCCCTTTAAATAAAACACTATTGCAATTTAATGCAAACACTTTAACTAAACACTAGTGTTTGATTAAGACTGACAAATAATACTTTCTGCACTCCCATAAAGCTAGATTTGATGGTCTGATGATAATATGGTTGTGAATAAACAATGCAACAAATACAATTTCGCAAAGTAAGCATACGATCTGCATGTACATCAATGATTCTAGAGTAGAGGAAGCAGCAGAGTGGGGTCACTGTCCCTCATTGTTGCATATTTAGTGTGAATAAAAGGCACAAAGGCTTTTGTGTGCTACAGGCAGGAGTCAGTACTTAAAAGGCAGGGGGTGGACGCATGCATTTTTCCAGAAATGAGGCTCAGCCTTGTCCTGACCATTGTCATATATAGTGACAGAGAATAGACTGAGATGATGGCAAGCAGAAGGTGCCATTATGTTGGTGGAGATAAGTGGACGCTTCTCTCTGGAGTTTCTCTTTCTTTCACTCACATGCAAGCTTGCTGTCAAAGCTGGAAAGAGCCACTGCGAAGGCCTGCAAAGCACACAGAGGGTAGCTGTAGTCCAGTGTGAAGAGGTCCTCTGCCACTCGGCCAAACTGCATGACAATGTACTCCGCTGTGGGAAGAATGAGGGGAAAAAAAGACCTAGTCAAACAGGGAAAACATTTTTATTTATCCGGCAAAAAGAACTTCTGTGTTCTCTGCAACAACCAATCAACCCCTCTCTTTCCTGGTTAGAAAATGACCGATTGCTGTGAGCAATACAGTGTCTTTCAGATACTTTAAATGAAAGGATGAAAAATGAAGTATCAAAATTAAAAGGACTATAGAAAGGCCAGAACAAACAAAAAAAAACAACATTATACGGCTTAAGCTGGTGATATAAAGATGTGAACAGACTTACGGTCATTGTCATGCACAATTTGGAAGTTCTTAACGGAAGCATGCGTCACGCGCCCATGAAAGTTTAGCACATAGGATTGTGTGTCATCATTCCACACAGGAGCCTTGTTGTGCAGCTCGATGATGTTCTCATTGCGCTTGTTCTGCCACCTGGATAGAAGACTTTCCGATTCCTGCAACAAACAGCAAGTCATTAGACTGTGTTGCTACGATATCACAGTGTGCTGTAGTATGCCTTCTGCTGAACGCAGCTCATACCACATACAACATAGGAATATTATGGCTTCTTTCTGTACCAAAAGATAGATACAACAAGATGAAATGGGAAACTCACACTTAGTGGCTGAAATGGAATCCGTTCATGATTAATGGTCATTCCAGGGATTAATACAGACATCTTTCGAGGTCCTTTAAAGCCCAACACATTTGTCTCCTGGGAGATATGAGGAATAAAGAGAAAGGGAGAGAGAGAAAAAGAAAGAAAGAAAGAAAAAAACAGAAAGAGACAAATATAAAAAAAGAAACAGACAACCACAGAAATGAAGTAAAGAAAGATAGAGAGTGAGACAAGGAGGGATGAAAAGAGAGAGGCACATGAAAAATAACAGATGAAAACAATAAGGCAAGGAGGGATGATGTGTGAGAGGAGAACAAAGAGAGGGACAATAGAGGGAGAGGAGATAAACAGCGAAAGAGAGGCAGGGATGGACCGGGAAAGGGGGAGTGAGAGAAAGGAGCAGAAAGACAGAGAGAGGGAGGGAGGGGTAGATAGAAAGTTGGAAAGAGAAGACAAGTTAAATCTGAACACAGCTTGGACTATGAACAAAATGATCTGTCCTCAAAGAATGAAGAGGACGCCTCTTACATAGCACACAGCTGCCAGCTCCTGCCTCACAGTACTATTGTCCAGCAGTCCATGGGCCTTGGCTTTATCTGGGCTCTCGCCATTGTCATATACAGTAAACTTGGTTCCCATTATGTTTGATCTGACAAGAAACAAGATAGATAAAATGGAAGATGAACACATAACAGAGCCTACAGAGAGCACGTGTGTGAACAGAACATGAAAACTTTTGACACAATAAGACAAAAAGAAATGTTTTAATTGGTGATTTTACAGAACAGCAAAATGATGTAACCAGAGAACCAAAACTGGTTAAGCCCACAATAATTAGAGTCAAACAAAACATTCTTATTCACACTAATATTTAAAAGCTGATCTGTAAATGCAAAAACATCCATTTAAATATATTCCTTAATAACCAGAGATGATTCCTTTGCAGACCCAGTTATTACCCTGTAAAAGTAGCAGTGACATCATCACTATGCTGTGCATAGCCTGTGCATAGAAAACTACAGAAGGGGAGGAAACAAGACCAATCACCGTGATTAAGGAGAGAGAGAGAGCAGTGACTGGTCTTTATTACATGGAGTTCCTGAACAGTGGCAACATTTTTTACTGGATTACTGCACAGATCTGAAAGAAATACACAAGATGAGATGCTACATGACTTTTTAATTCAGAAAATATTTGCTTATCCCAGAAAACAGCTTTAAGGAGGATTCCACTTTAAAACGGGACCCAAGCATTTGAAAAACATCTCTCCATCCCTACAGTTTGGCATTCCTAATTCTAAAACAAAATGGAAAGTAAAGTTCCTATGGCATACACATTCCTGACACAGGGAATCATGTCCAAGAACATTAACCCCTTGCCTACCAATGTACATTTATAAATGGGCTGGTATGCAAACGTTTAAAGCAAGCTCACGGCTGCTGCCACAAATCGAGAGCTTGGTATCAATTTTTACTGACCCACCACTAGCCCCAACCGTGGTGGTTTCGTGCATTCCCGTTTCTCCAGTGAGCTTGGGACCATAGTAAAAGACTCCTACAGTGAGATCAGGAGGTGACCAGGGAACGTCCTTTCTGCAATCCCCGTGACTAATGAACTCGCAAGCAACGTGTATTACATCGCTTCCGTGTTCAAAGCTAATAAAGTTTAATATCCGAAATAAAATGGAAAAAAGTGTAAAACAAATGCTCTAAACATAAATATAAATAAAAATTATTTTAAAAAGTTTAAAAGTACCCCTTGTACACACCCCAAATGCAAACACACAGCACATGTAGCTAAACACAAATTGTGTCCTACATCTGAGGTATCGCCGCAAAAACAGAGTTGGAGCAACAATTCCAGGCCTATAATTCATGGTTAACTGTAAACATATACCCTGTAAAGACTTATTTATTTCAGATACTTATATAGCGCTGTCAATTTACACAGCACTTTACACATATATTGTACATTCACATCAGTCCCTAACCCTCAAGGGGTGTACAATCTAAGGTCCCTAACTTACATTCATACACACACATATTAGGGCCAATTTAGACAGGATTCAATTAACCTACCAGCATGTCTTTGGAGTGTGGGAGGAAACCGGAGTACCCGGAGGAAACCCACGCAGGCACAGGGAGAACATGCAAACTCCAGGCAGGTGGTGCCGTGGCTGGGATTCGAACCAATGACCCTAGTACTGCCAGACAGAAGTGCTAACCATAAGACTTCTAAAGTGTTGACAATTTTGGGTACCATATTAATTTGCAATTTCGCGGGAGTGTGCAGTTTTAAGGCTTGACGTGTTTGGTATCTATTTACTTGATGCAACTCCATCTTTCATACTGTGCCAAAAAATTGGGTATCATACTGTGCATGTTTGCACTAAAATGTATTTTAGTGTATTTTTTCCTGAAAATATGGATTTGATAAACAGCTGCGCAAATATCGTGCAACATAAAAAATTGTAACTACCACCATTTTATTGTCCAGGGTTACTGCATTCAGAGAGGGATTAAAGTAAAGAATTTCTAGCAAAAAAATGCAGATTTAACACAGTTGTGAAACATTTAAAATTTGCAACAGTAGGCAATGGGTTAACCTACAGAATGACAGATGAATCACAAGAGTGGCTGAAAAGAATTACAAATCCTTCACCAGAAAAGAAATTCTAGCTACATAGTGAATTATGTGGGGAGTTAAAAGAGTTTAGGAGGTAAATGAGGTCATTGTAGCCTAGCTGCCCAAAAATATACTGAATATTTTGAATTCATTTTTTTTTTAAACTCAAACTTAAAGCAGTTGTAAAGGCTGGTATTTATTTTTTTCTAAAATAAAAAACATGCTATAAATTACCTGTTCTGTGAAATGGTATTGCACACAGAGGGCCCGAACCTCCTCTTCTGGGGTCCCTGCCAGCACTCTTAGCTCCTCCTCTTCTGTGTGTGCCCCCATAGCAAACCACTTGCTATTGGGGGGCAGATGTGCGGGCTCTTGAGCTGGGCTGTGTGCATTCATAGACACACACTGCGTAGCTCAGCCCCACCTCCACTTCCTCCTCACAGGATATGACGACAGTAGAAGGAGCCAATGGCTCCTGCTGCTGCTTCTGTGCTTGTGAGGAGAGGAAGAGAGGAAAGCGCTGTTGCAGGTGGGCATAGCACTGGAACAAAATAGGACTCAAGTATTTGGGAAGGGGGAGGGGCGATATTGCTACTGGGAAATTTTTTACCAAGGGAATGTATTGAGGCAGAGGTGGGCAACCGTGGCCCTCCAGCTGTTGGTGAACTACAAGTCCCATCATGCCTCTGCCTTTGGGAGTCATGCTTGTAACTGTCAGTTTTGCAATGCCTCATGGGACTTGTAGTGCTACAACAGCTGGAGGGCCACAGTTGCCCACCCCTGTATTAAGGTAAAAAAAAGTCTAGCTTTCAGAACCACTTTAAAGTATTAAACAGAGCCGCACTGCCATCTACAGCTTGTAGTGCCTCCTGCAAGCTGCTGCCAAACTTTTCTGAATAAAGCTTTTAGCTTACATGTAATTACTAAAAACTATCCAACATACTAATCACATGACCACTTGTTAGTGGACACCAACACTGTTAGTGACAGTTATGTTTGACAGCTAAAAGTCACGCAAAGCGTTGGATGTTAGTTCTCAAGGATGTATTTTAAGGTAACCTCAGAATGGGACTTCACGCTGAGGATCATTGATTTATAGGCTGCAGGTGAGAAGAGGTTAATGACTAAATGTTTATAGGGTAAAAAACCACATTCAGATTCAATGATTGGCAGTGTACTGCACAACAAATCCGTAGATTGCACATACCGAAGTTTGCCTACAAAACTGCCCCCTTCCCGTGACAAGTCCGTGGGGTCAGTGGAAATCAAGTAATTGGAGGTTTTGCTTTTTTTCCTTTTTCTTCCAGCAAGAAGGAAAACCTGAAAGATAAGGCTCAGTGAGTCAGACGTCGGCTTCTCAGTCTTTCCATAAAGAAAAGTTAATGTCTCTACCAGGGGCGGACTGACCATTTGGAAACTCGGGCACTGCCCGAGGGCCCGGGGTCAGTAGGGGGTCCTATGAGATGCCCCTGGTACCTTTTTCATAGGCTTTTTTGAGTGTGGGCAAGGACACAGGGGCCCCATGATCCCCTATTGCCCGGGGGGCCCATGAGTTGTCAGTCCGCCCCTGGTCTCTACAGTATTCTCACCTTGCGGCTGTCATCCCTTTCAAGGTGCATGTAATAGGTTGGGAACAAGCCACGGTCCATTCCCTTTTTGTCACGGCTGATGCGACACCTTACAGCGGTTCCACGAGCCGCAGGGCGCACAACGAATTCTTTCAGGTCACCCACATCTCCTACGTCCCCTTGAGGTACGGTAGGTATTGCCTCTGCACAAGCAGATTCCTGGGGAAGACAGAGTGATGGTTGAGGTTTAGAAATCATAACTATATTAGATTCTACAATAGACTACACATATACATCAGATCATAAAACTATCTTTATACACATTACAAAAGCTATACAAAAACACATAAAACAAGGCTTAGCGCTTTTTTGCATGTATAATCTCTCTCTCTTTTTTTTTTTTTTTTTTTAATCAGAAAAAAACCTTAATTGAACATTTGCAATCATAGAGTTTCCACAAATTCTCAAAACATAGCATTCAGTAAATCAAGTCATATAAAAGTAAACAAATACAATTACAGGCCTAGCAATTTATAGCCTGAGGCAAATCTGATTGGCCCACCAGTGGGCCAAAAGAGCAGGTATGGGAATGGTCCTACAGCATGTTAATAGCTACATATCATACATTGACTGTGAATATAAAAACAATACTGCGAATGTCAACCTACCCCAATATCCTGTTCTTGACTAGGGTAACCGGAGCCAAACCAGGAATGTCAAGCCAACCTACCCAAACTCTATCAAATTTAGCAAAGGATCTGTGTTGATAGATAACCCGCTCATATTGTACAGTGGTACCCATATACGAAAACCATTTCTAAAGGGAGGGAGGAGAAGCGCTTTTCCAGTGGAGTAGTATGGCTTTACGTGCCTGGAATAGGGCCCTAGAAACAGCTTCATCCTAAACTATATCTTCTAGAATACCCAGTATACATCGCTTGGGGTCAAGGGGAAGATCAATTTGGAATGCTTTATTAATAGTAGTTAGAACCAATTCCCAATACGTGTGCAGCTTAGCGCATCTCCACAATATATCTTACATCCCCATGATCTGTACTACAGTTAGGACAAGCTGGATCAGACAAAAGTCCCATCATAAACAATGTAACCGGGGTGTATTAAACTCGCAGCTGAATGTACAATTGTGTCAGTCTCTCTGAGATATACAGTCAGGTCCATAAATATTGGGACATCGACACAAATCTAACATTTTTGGCTCTATACACCACCACAATGGATTTGAAATGAAATGATCAAGATGTGCTTTAACTGCAGACTGTCAGCTTTAATTTGAGGGTATTTACATCCAAATCAGGTGAACGGTGTAGGAATTACAACACTTTGCATATGTGCCTCCCACTTCTTAAGGAACCAAAAGTAATGGGACAGAATAATAATCATAAATCAAACTTTCACTTTTTAATACTTGGTTGCAAATCCTTTGCAGTCAATTACAGCCTGAAGTCTGGAACGCATAGACATCACCAGACACTGGGTTTCATCCCTGGTGATGCTCTGCCAGGCCTCTACTGCAACTGTCTTCAGTTCTTGCTTGTTCTTGGGGCATTTTCCCTTCAGGTCAGGTGACTGACTTGGCCATTGCATAACATTTCACTTCTTTCCCTTAAAAAACTCTTTGGTTGCTTTTGCAGTATGCTTTGTGTCATTGTCCATCTGCACTGTGAAGCGGCATCCAATGAGTTCTGAAGCATTTGGCTGAATATGAGCAGATAATATTGCCCGAAACACTTCAGAATTCATCCTGCTGCTTTTGTCAGCAATCACATCATCAATAAATACAAGAGAACCAGTTCCATTGGCAGCCATACATGCCCACGCCATGACACTACCACCACCATGCTTCACTGATGAGGTGGTATGCTTAAGATCATGAGCAGTTCCTTTCCTTCTCCATACTCTCTCTTCCCATCACTCTGGTACAAGTTGATCTTGGTCTCATCTGTCCATAGGATGTTGTTCCAGAACTGTGAAGGCTTTTTTAGATGTCGTTTGGCAAACTCTAATCTGGCCTTGCTGTTTTTGAGGCTCACCAATGGTTTACATCTTGTGGTGAACCCTCTGGATTCACTCTGGTAAAGTCTTCTCTTGATTGTTGACTTTGACACACATACACCTACCTCCTGGAGAGTGTTCTTAAATCTGCCAAACTGTTGTGAAGGGTGTTTTCTTCACCAGGGAAAGAATTCTTCGGTCATCCACCACAGTTGTTTTCCGTGGTCTTCCGGGTCTTTTGGTGTTGCTGAGCTCACCGGTGCGTTCCTTCTTTTTAAGAATGTTCCAAACAGTTGTTTTGGCCACGCCTAATGTTTTTGCTATCTCTCTGATGGGTTTGTTTTGTTTTTTCAGCCTAATGATGGCTTGCTTCACTGATAGTGACAGCTCTTTAGATCTCATCTTGAGAGTTGACAGCAACAGATTCCAAATGCAAATAGCACACTTGAAATGAACTCTGGACCTTTTATCTGCTCATTGTAATTGGGATAATGAGGGAATAACACACACCTGGCCATGGAACAGCTGAGAAGCCAATTGTCCCATTACTTTTGGTCCCTTAACAAGTGGGAAGCACATATGCAAACTGTTGTAATTCCTACACCGTTCACCTGATTTGGATGTAAATACCCTCAAATTAAAGCTGACAGTCTGCAGTTAAAGCACATCGTGTTTGTTTCATTTCAAATCCATTGTGGTGGTGTATAGAGCCAAAAATGTTAGAATTGTGTCGATGTCCCAATATTTATGGACCTGACTGTATATAAGGAACTATCATGCACTGCCTCTAAGGCCATTTCTCACTGTTCTCCTGTGAATTCCCCAACATCAGGTTCCCACCTGTCCAAGGCCCTACAAGGATATGCTTCCAGGTAAATAGGCAATAATTAGGTGTAGCAGTTAGAGAGAAGGCCTTTCTGGGTCGTACTATGTTGTAACATGGCAAAAATAGAGGTAGGGAAAAGCGAAAAATCAGACGATAGGTTTTGAGCTGCTGCTACTACTCCACTACATATATATATATATCATGAACGCTGCTGCCAGACTCATCCACCTTACTAACCATTCTGTATCTGCCACCCCTCTCTGCCAATACCTCCACTGGCTTCCCATTGCCCAACGGATAAAATTCAAAACACTAACACTGAGGTATAAAGCCATTTATAACTCTGCCCCAAATTACATCACAGATCTTGTCTCTAAATATCACCCAAACTGTACTCTCCGCTTCTCGCACGACCTCCTGCTCTCTAGCTCCCTTGTCTCCTCCTCCCATGCTTGTCTCCAGGACTTCTCCAGAGCATCCTCTGGAACTCTCTACCCCAATTTATCAGACTATCGCCTACTCTGCTCACTTTTAGGCGATCTCTGAAAACCTATCTCTTCAGGGAAGCCTATCCTGCCCTCAGCTAATACTGGAATCTTCTACTCCTCCTACGAGTCCATCCCCCACAGTTACTACCTTTTGTACCACTAGCCCCTCCCTACTAGACTGTAAGCTCCAAGGATCAGGGCCCTCAAATCCCTCTTGTATTGAACTGTATTGTTGCTGTAGTGTCTCCCGTTATATTGTAAAGCACTGAGCAAACTGTTGGCGCTATATAAATCCTGTACAATAATTATATATATATACACACACTATGTTATACCCTCAATGTTTCACCAATGAGCACTATACATATTGCAATGTGTAAAAAGGTTCTATCACTCCTATATCTAGCCAATTTTTAGCAATGGGATAGGGGTAGCACTCTATGCTTTTTTCAGATCTGTTCCTCTGACGCAATTGGCCAGCTTAACCATGTATTGCAATGTACTGTATATACACACAGATGCACAACCCCAATTCCAAAAAAAGTCAAGAAGCCATGTAAAAAAATTGTTCACCGATTTTTTATTTTTACAGACTGAAAATCAGCTTTGGAGAATCTAAGACATTCTACCCCAAAAATCTGTCCATAACCAGTTCTACTGGAGCCATCCCTGGTATGGCATGCCAACCTCCCCATACCCTATCGAATTTAGCAGGGCATCCTCAATGCTGATAAATACCTTTTTTGAAATCTAAGGATGGTACCCGTACATGCAATCCATTCTTTAAGGGAGGAGGGGAAGTACTTTTCCAGTGAAGTTGGATAACTTGCCTGGTTCAATGATTTTTGGACACAGCTTTTCAAAGATTGCCGAACCTCTGCCTATCTCTACTTCT